ATCACCCTTACCTTAAAAGTGCACTGTTAAGCCAAAGCCTGCAGTTCCAGCATCCCATAGGGGTGCCAGTTGAGTCCCAGCTGTTCTGCTTCCCATCCAGCTCCCTGGATGTGCCTGAAAAAGTAGCAAAGGATGGCCCAAGTCCTTGGGCTTCTGCCATCCATGTGGGAGATCCAGAAGAAGCTCCTGGATCCTGGACCCTGGCTTTGGCCTGGCCCAGCCCCAATCATTGCAGCCATTTGGGAAGTGAACCAGCAGGTAGAGGATCCTTTCTCTCTCTCTCTCTCTCTCTCTCTCTCTCTCTTTCTCTTTCTCTTTCTCTTTCTCTTTCTCTTTCTCTTTCTCTAACTCTGCCTTTCAGATAAATAAATATTCTTTTTTTAAAAAATGCATTGGCCAACTTTATTTCTCTCTGACACTGTAGTTTCCCCAAAGTGAAAAAAAAGGATGGACCCCTTATTACAAGGCTTTGGAAAACTTTGAGTCATTGAAAAGTTCTGTGTGTACTCTAGGACAACATCCAACTTTACATAAGTAATACATGGGGATAATAATTTGGCTTTGTAAAAGAATCAGGTACTTTCACATAGACTCAAGTTATTGAGATAATCCTGATTAGCACACAGCCTTAACAAGTGTGTCTGGAGAGCACCTATGACCTGCTTCCCACCTATGACCTGCTTCCTATTAAAAAAAAAAAAAAAAAAAGAAGAATCCTATTGCTTCTGGAACTGCCTAAGACCTGACTCTATAGAATGGAAAAGAAGTGAAAATCCGCAACATCTTTTTTCATCTGAAATAAGCTAAGATACTTCAATTTGCTCACATCTAGGCTGTTGGTCTTAGAATCAGAAGACCTGGGTTTGCCACCTGCCAGTTGTGTGATTCTGGACAAGTTACTGAATCTTTACCAGACCCCCCCCTTTCTTCCCTCACTGGCAAAATAAGCATCACACACTTCCCTCACTTCATTTTTTCAGGGAATTAAAATAAAACAAAAAGGTGAACTGGGGGCAGCCAGAGGCAACCTGGATATCCCCTACAGTGTCAGTTTCTTCATTCAGCTCTGCTCTGGTCTGCATAATACAACTTTTTCCAGCATGCTGTGCACCAAAGTAGTTCATTGGAAATACAGTAATTAGCATTACAGATAAAATGACACTGCTGCAATGTTAATTACTGTAGTGCAGATGTACTGTTCGATTTAGACATCATACATAATGTTGTCAAGCCTTTATTTTTAAATTAAAGTGCAACAAACCATACCCTGGCTACACAGCTTTTTATGATTAATACAAATTAATGTTATTTCAGTGTCTAGGGAAAGAGTTGGGAAAGGGGGTGTTGTATCTAATTTTAAGAACATACAGACAAATGGTAAAAGTAAAGGAACCCCCATTAACTTTCTGTCCCCTTTCAGCTACCCACATTTTGTGAGGTCCAGAGGGCAGGAACTGAGCCTGGCTTTTCCTCACCATACTATTCCCAGCTCCTAGAACACAGTCAGTTGCAATGAATATTTTCTGAGTAGCTGACCCACTAAATGAATGAATGGGCAAAGACAGAGCCAAGTAGGCAGAAGGGTTTTGAAAGTGAAGTGGCGGAACTCAAAGGTGCAAGGGTTTATTCCTCCTCCTCCTAGTTTTGTGTTGGCTTTGTGGCATTGGAAATGATATTGGATGCTCCCCACATCTGGTGCTTTCAGTCTGAAATGAATTGGCAGAATGCAGAAGTCAGGTGGAGTCCTTTATTATGACACTGCACAAACACTGGATTCCACCAGGCTGTAGTGAGAAGGAAAGTTGTGATGATATCTTCCACATCATCTAGGCACCCTTGCAATACTCCAAAAGTGAGGGAAGAAAGAAAATTAAAATGCCTGACTGTTACATATACGGCCAAGCATTACTTATTTAATTATCACAACAACCTTATGGGGAATTTTTCAATTTTTTAAAATACTTTTAATTTATATAAGGTGAATGAACTTCAAGTATTTCATATATACAGTTTTAGGAGCATATTGATACCCCTCACCTTCCCTCCTCCATCCTTTCTTATTCTTGCTTTCAATTTTTACAATGACATACTTTCAGTTTATTTTATAATCATACTCTTAGCCCTCCACCTAGTGAAGAAGTTAACAAATACTAAGAAGAAAAAACACTGTTCCTCAACAGTAGAGACAAGGGATGTAAACAGTAATCGGATTCAAAATATTAATTTCACTCCTATACATTATGTTTTTGTGCTGTGTTAGTTACCACAGACCAGGAAAAACATATGAGATTTGTCTTTTGGGGATTGACGTATTTCACTAAGTATAATGGTTGCCAGTTGCATCTATTTTGTTGCAAAAGATAAGATTTCATACTTTTTTATGGCTGGGTGGTATTCTGTAGTGTATATGTACCATATTTTTTTGTGCAGTCATCAGTTGATGGACATCTGGATTGATTATATATCTTAGCTACTGAGAATTCATCTGCAATAAACATTGGGGTACAGATAACATTTTTGTATATTGATTTCATTTTCTTTGGGTAAATTCCTAGGAGTGGGATGGTTGGGTCATATGTAGATCTATTTTCAAAGGTATCTCCATAGTGTCTTCCACAATGGCTGTACCACTTTACATTCCTACCAATAGTATATTAGAGTACTTTTTCCCCCACATCCTTGCCAACCTCTATTGTTTGTTGATTTCTGTATGAGAGCCATTCTATCTAATGTGAGGTAAAACCTCATTGTGGTTTTGAATTGGTTTCCCTGAGGGTTCATGATCCTGAGCATTTTTTCATGTGTCTGTTGGCCATTTGAATTTCATCTTTTGAAAAATGCCTGTGCAAATCCTTTGCCCATTTCTTAACTGGATTGTTTGCTTTGTTGATGTTTAGTTTCTTGAGCTCTTTATAAATTCTGGATATTAATCCCTTATCAGTTGCATAGTTTGCAAATATTTTCTCCCATTCTATCAGTTGCCTCTTCACTTCGTTGAGCATTTCCACTGCAGGGCAGAAGCTTCTTAGCTTGATGTAATCCCGTTCGTCTATCGTTACTTTGCCTGTGTTTCTGGAGTCTTTTCCAAGAAGTCTTTGCCTATGCCATTGTCTTGCAGAGTTTCCCTAATATTATCCTCTGGTAATTTGATGATATCAGATCATAGATACTGTGGTAAAATACATATAACATAAAATTTACCATCTTAACCATTTTTAAGTGAACAATGCCACGATCAAGTACATTCATGTGGTGAAACCATCCTCCTATGTACCTCTAGATCAGTCCTCCCTGCTGCTAGTCCTGGAAGCCACTATTCTATTGTCTGTCTCTGATTTGGACTACTTTCAAAACCTCATATATGGTGAATCCATTTTTTTATATAAATTGCTGATAAAGATGGATTGTGTCATTTTGCTATTTGTTTTCAAGATGCCTTATAGACTTTTTGTCCTTCATTTTTTGGGGGGAAATTTTTTTACCTCTGTTTTATGGTTAAAGAAATTAAGACCTGAAGGCTTTCTCAGGCCATAGCAGAGAGCTGGATGGGAAGTAGAGCAGCTGGGACTCAAACCAGTGCCCATATAGGATGCTGGCACTGCAGGCAACAGCTTTACCTGCTAGGCCACAGTGCTGGCCCCAGAACTCTGATTTTTTTCCTAAAGCTATTCTATATCTTTTGAAGCATATATAATGCCTGTGTAATATCTTAATTAGAAAAATAATTTTATTTAAAGATGGATGTATTATCAAACACAAACCTATCTTGAACCATTATACTGTAAGGAAAGTTATGAATTCAAACATAAAAAGAAGTTCTCATTATCTCATAGTAATTAAACAGTCATTTATGTGAGCCTGAAGAACAGAAACGGAGTCTTTGATAGGGATCAAGAAATAGTTAGCTTAAGGAAAAAAGAAATGTATTGGTAAGAGGAAAGTATCTGAAAAAGTTAAGCTCGGGCACCATGAAGGAACTGGCCCAAAGGATACAAAGATATCTGAAACTCAGCTATTCATTCATTCTCTCTCTCTCTCTCTCTCTCTCTCTCTCTCTCTCTCTCTCTCTCTTCTGATCTTTCCTTTGCATCACAGGTTAACTGGGCCTCATGTGACTTTGTATTTCAGGCATGCAACAGAACCTCTGCAGAGTGTCTGTCCAGACTAATGATAGTTTAGATTCACAAGAGAACATAATTAACTTGGGAAGAATCAGTTAGCTTTAAAAAAATGTATTAATTTATTTGAAAGAGTTACACAGAGAGAAGAAGAGGCAGAGGGGGGCGGGAAGGTCAGTCTTTCATTCACTGGTTCACTGTCCAATTGGCTGCAATGGCCAGAGCTGCATGGATTCAAAGCCAGGAGCCAGGAGCTTCTTCCAGATCTCCCACGCGGGTGCAGGGGCCCAAGGACTTGGGCCATCCTCCACTGCTTCCCCAGGCCATAGCAGAGAGCAGGATCAGAAGTGGAGCAGCCAGAACTCAAACTGGCACCCATATGGGATGCTGGCATTGCAGGCTTTACCCATTACATCACAGCACCAGCCCCATTAGCTTTTGTAGAATAACCAATTACCTCAAAACATAGGGAATTAACCATATAGCTCCAAGACTATGGGTCAGTGTTTTTCTGGATTGGGCCAGACTAAGCTGATATTTACTGGATCAGTCCACAGGTGAATCATCCATGGATTGACCACTCTAGGAAGGCCTGTACTAGTATGTTTGTCTTCACTGTGGTCTCATTCTCTAGCACGTTAACCCAGGCTTGTTTGCATGGTATTCCTAAAGGATACTTTAGGATGCCTTCTGACTCACGGTAAGTACCACAGAAGCTAAGTGGAGCAAGAGCGCCCTCTGGAGAGGCTGCCACTCCCTACTCCACATGTGGCGTAGTATCTTCCCACAGAGGAAGCAAAAAGCACTGGTCTAAGCACCATACTGGATTTGGGGAGAAATGGAAGTAATGCCTCGCTTGACCTGTTATTCATTGCCTTGCAGGTCAGTGGGACTATGTACAACACTGGAAGACATGTATCCCTCCGCCTGGACAAGGAGCACTTGGTCAACATATCAGGAGGGCCGATGACATACAGCCACCGGCTGGAGGAGATCCGGCTGCACTTTGGAAGTGAGGACAGCCAGGGATCAGAGCACCTCCTCAACGGTCAGGCCTTCTCTGGAGAGGTATGTGGGTCTGTTCAGTACTGAGTTTAAGTGCCAACTTATAAAATTTGATGCCCAGTTATATCCAAGGTATGATAACAGATGGCAAGATTTCTCTTGAATCTATGAAATGGAAAGGGCTGCGCCTGTCTCCCTCTGTCTGCTGCAGATTGGCATGGAAGCCAATATTTTCCAGAGAAAGCAACAATGAAATTAGAGCTATGTCCTTCCAGGACACTGAGGCAACTTCTGAGATTCACACCCCAAGATATTTCCAGAGCATTATTCAACTCCGTACCCTCATCTTCGTGTAGCTTTTCAAATACTCCTTCCTGAGCCATCAGCTTCCCCTGGGCCATGCAGGATAGCCGTTCTCCCTTCTGACAGAATGGTTCTCATTTTCTCAGAACCATAACGTACTATAGGAAATGAATGTCACACAGCCAAACAGTTTGCCTGAGATTTTGCCGAATGGAAATGTCGTCATGTACCACTGTTTATAGTGAGTGTCACTATGGGCCATCATCAACCCAGACAGAACTCAGACCTCAGAAGTGAATCCAACCACAGTTTCAATTATAGGACAAGAGCTACAGTTAAACAAATGTCATCTGTGAGGTGACAGTTGACAAGCAGGGTATAATTTGGTTCCTTTTATCTCCATCTCACTTGAGGGTGTTTATCAATCAGAGATCAGGGTCTTTACATGCTAAATAACCTATAACTCCATTTCTACTTAAGAGTCCTCATTAACTGATGTCAGGAAGGCTTTTGAATTACAGAAGGATGTCTCTGATGTGGTGTTTTGTTTTTTAATCCATGCCATGTTTAAACCTAACGTTGTTTTAAATGTGGTGAGGCCATGCACTGAGAAACAGACTCACAGCCTTAATGAGTCCACTGCCATATTTTGATATATGTTCAAACTGCCTCAACTAAAAGTCTTCCAAAAACTCATCTTGCTCCTAGGGATGCAGAGACTTTTTGACTTTTTTTTTTTTTTTAATATAAAAGAGCTTCCACCACAGAACAGTTCAAAGACTGCAATATTCAAATCATTAAAATGTAATGTCATACGGTAATGGAGAGGCACAAGTGTAGCAGCAAACTCAGTGGAAGAATTGACGAATTTTCCTTGAAGGGGTCGGGAGAGGCTTCACAGAAATGGTGCCCTTTCAACAGGGCTGCGATGAGAGGCAATGAAGAACAATTTTAAGAGTATCAGCTTTGGAGTCAAAAGACCCGAATTTATAGCTCCCGCTTTCATACATACCAACTATGTGATCTTGGAATGTTACTTGATCCTTCCAACTGACACTTTAGATAGCCCCCAAGGTTGTTTAAAAAATTAAGTGGGATTCCCAGATGTAAGGAGCACTGGAAGTACTCAATGGTTGATAGATTGAAAAAAAGATAAAGCAAGAAATAAGAGACAGCATGAGCAAAGGCCCCAAGACATGTCAAGGAACCAAGTGTTGGAGGAGCTGCATGTAGATTTCATCTTGCATTTTGTCTGTGATCTATTAGTAATGGTCGCATAGACAATGAGGTTGAGTTTCCTTCTTGGATCTGTAGGGGGAAAAATGCTAAAATTGATTAGGGATGTCTTCCACAGGCACTGTAATCAGTGGCTCCTAGGAATTACAGAACCTGAGCTAGAGTATACTAGGAATATGATGAAAGCATGGCAAAAACACAATGTGAGAGTAACCAGAAACCATGCAAATTAGAGAATATTCAAGTTAAACTCTTCCTTTTAGTTATATAGATAATATAGATTATTTTAAGATCTGTGATTATTTGTTCACAATTATTTGTTTGCTATTATTCCTTTGTTTTTCTTCCCCACCCTAACTGTCATTTGCAAGTCCCTATTACAACACTGCCTTGGGGTAAAAAATATTTGTAAAATAAGTAAGTGAAAAAAAAATAGACATTGTTACAAGGCTAACATCTCTACATTACAGAATTCTTTAGAGTCGCTTGCTTCTTAAATATATAAGGGTGCTTTGTAACTTGTATATCAACCTCAATTTTCAACTATGTAAGTGTTTCGAAAATCCTTAAGGAAAACATAAAACAATTTGATCTCTTAGCTTATCAATTTTCCTAGACCTACCCCAGCCCACAGGTGTCAGATGCTCCAAAAAGTCTGCATTTCAGAAGTTCCTAGGACAATCTCAGGATCAGCTTTGTGAAACACTCCTTTGATGCTACATTATTAAGTATTCTCAATGAAGACAGAAAATGCTTAAACAGAGTTGCAAACCAGAATTAACTGGGGAGTGCTGTCGAAATATTCACGCCTGAGTCCTTTTGAAACCAACTAAATCAAGGTCAGGGAGTATGGTTGAGGTGTGGGCACTTGTAACACTTTCCATGTGGTCAGTAACCACTATGGAACCTCAGGTTAAATTCTGCCTGGATTATCCCAGGTTCATAAACAATGAGAACTTTATTAACCAAACCGTGCTGTATAAATAAAAGGAGCAATGAGGCAAGCACTTAGCCTAATGGTTAAGATGCTCAAATCTCACATTGGATTGGTGCTTGGGTTTGACTTTCAGCTCTGGTTCCTGACTTCAGTTTATCCTGGGGGCAGCAGTGATGGCTCAAGTAATTGGGTTCCTACCACCCTACCCCAGGAGACCTGGATTGAGTTCCTGGCTCCTCATTTAGGCTGAACCCAGCCTAGCTGTTGCAGCCATTTGAAGAATGAGCCAGTGGATGAGATCAAGCTCTCTCTGTGCTCTTCCTTCCCCCTCAAATAAATATTTTTAAAGCTGTAACTGCCATAGGTGACTGCCCCCTTGAAAATGGCAAGAGCAGAGACATTATCTTGACTGACAAGGTTTAGAGTTGGTCTCTCTCTCTTTCTCTCTCTCTCTCTCTCTCTCTCTCTCTCACACACACACACACACACACACACTGCTCCAAGGCATACTTGATCATTAGCCTCAGCATAAACGCCATTGTACCTGACCCTATACTTCATCATTTATATCACATTTCTTTCTAAGCTCCTCAACTGAGTAGCCTACAGACAAATTGGTGTGGGTTTTGGTGAAAGAGACTTGAATTTTGGAAGCTCTAAAATAATGTTATGTAGGAGATGGTTGACCAGGTAGTCGGCTTTGGAAATATTTAAAGGGCTCCAGTGAACAACAAAATTTTGCTATTCCCTATGAAGTGTGATGGAAGAGACCTAGCATCAATGGGTAGAAGATATAGGAAGATGGAGTTCAGCCAACTCCATGTCCTAACAATGAAAGCTATCCATCAATGAAGTGGGTTTGCCTCTGAATATAGTGGATTCTTACCATTGAGATTGGTAAGCACTGAGCAGAATTTGGTGACTTCACAAAAGTAACGCATCCTAATGAGCAAGTAGATTACTAGATTTCCTGTACCTTGTAATGATGGAATTTTACACAAGCTGTGATTTCCTTATAGAAAATTCCTCCCAATCAGAGTCCACTGAAAGTTAGTCTCAGTACAACTGACTATAATTTCCCCTAAGTTTACATTTTCTTTTTTTTCTGTGCTACCTTCAAAGCCACCTTTTGGTCTCTACTTTTGACTATCCTCTGAGAGGACTCAAGTAGACACTTCTTTCTAGCAACAAAGCATGTGTTTATTTTGTTGACAGTGAATAATCACATTGCCGTCTACTCCATCCATCATTGCTGATGGTGATAAGTCAATTAATGCCAGGCATTTTCCTTGGCACAGTGCAATAGTCGTTATCTGAAGAGCTGTAGATTAATTGCAGTCTTGTCTACTGAGGTTATTGTAATTGATGGTAATCATTTGCTTTGTTTTATAAAGCTGTGTAGATGTACGACACAGTCAGCAACTGCATTTTTATAAAAAATTATTCATGTCCTACATGGACAATTCCTGGACACCTTGTTGGGGGTTGTTGATAAATGAGCATATTCAAGGATTCAAATGTCTTGGTTTTTTTAAGAAGGGAAAATTAACTGTTTTTAATAAGTAAGACCCTTAGCTTGCTAATCGTGTCTAAATACTTAGATTAATATCCAGTATAAAGTAGGGTGTTTATGAAAAGAAACCAATACATTATCCAGGCAAATGATGATATTTGAAAAGAGCCATGCTTCTGGATTAAGTTGCATTAGTGGGTTTACATAAGAAAAATCTTTTTTCTTTGGGAAAAATTGGACTAATTTATTTTTAAAAAACCTTCCTTAAACTCTTCTTTGCAAAGGGGTGCCCCAAAAATTGCACCTGCCACTGCACGGGATCCCTGTAGCCAGAGCCTCATATTAATTTTATCCAATCTTTACACGGCTGTTGTGCTTTCTGAGCTAGGTCTGAGCTAGACCCCAGCTTCTGGCCAGAGAAGCATACAGTCTATTGAAGGATATGCATATTAATGGTACAAACTAATGTGGGTTATATTTGAGGTTTATTCCAGAAGGGGACTGTGAGAGAGCTCTCTGAGTCCTATTAAGGAGAGAAGGGATGAGCAGCTGTGCAGACTGACCTACTTGCTTCTCCCTCTGAAGGTGAAGTAGAAACACATTGACCTTTCTCGATCTCAGCCTCTCGGGTCCGTGGTCCTGCTCAAAACACATCTGGGGGGTGGGGGAGGCCATAGCTGTTGCTATAGCAACAGACTAGATTGTTTCATTAAAAGGAATTAAAGTCAAAGGTAAAATATGGTATTTTTTCTTTTCTGGAGAAAAGGCTCTGAATCAGAAAAGAGAAAACAGTTGTCTCAGAACCAAGAACTAAGATTAAACAACAGAAAATGCCAGCCTTGTCTTCTTCAAGGAATCAATTATTTGTCTCCTTGAGAGACTGGTTTCACTAAAGCAACACACATTGTAGGAATAAGCTACTGACATCAAATTGTCCTGAAGTGTTCTAGGGTATGAGAAGCGCTGAGGAGCACTAACTAAGGCAGAACCAAGGCCCCATTGGCATTGAATGCTTAGATATAAGGGAAGGGCTTTGGCCATCTACCTAGCACTTTGTTGCTTGGCTGGGACCCC